AGAGTGTGAAGATGTCTGCTGATCGATTGATCCACCGCTTTGGTCGAGACTGAAATATCTCAACAACTATTGGATGGATTGCAAATATTCATGTTCTCCTCAATTTGGTGAGCCGTTAACTTTCTTGTCCAATAGTTTAGTTTATGATCAAATAGAGTTCTGCAGGGATGAATCCTAAACCCCAGAAATTAGCATTTTAGCACTTCCTGTTCCCTCGTTCCGACGTCTATGGGTTTGTTTGAATGGGTGTTTCGATAGATGCCTGAAATAAGGTCTGTGGTTAAAACAGGCTCAACACATTTTCACGTTTTATTTCTACAACATAAAATACTTCAGTAAACACTCCAGTCCTGACTCTTTAAGCTTTTATGTCTGTTTAAAAAAGGCCGGTTGCTAACAAGTGTCTAAATGAGACTACAGAGGTTGTCAGGGACGTTAAACTTTGAACATGAAAGCTGATCTCCTCACCAGTCTTCCTTTACATCCTCGTTGTGTTGGTACAAACTGTTACTAACTCTGTCAGAGGAAAGGCTTTTGTAGAGGAGGTCAGAGCTAAATCAAACTACAAGTTGAAGTTCAGTGGTTGTGACGCTGAAGGCATGTGACCGCGGTGTAATTGGTTTATAGTCTAACATTAGCTTTTTACTTCTGCTGATTGTATTTAGGCTTCAGAAATCATAAAGTGGTGTCGATTAGTGAAGATTATCCTGCTGAAATCCCATTGGCTTTCTGTCGAGGGAACCAGTGGTGCTAACATCTGGATTGTTCTACAAAACTACGTCATCCCTGCAGCACTCTATACCTGTAAAGCTAATGGCATTCCCATCAGCCTCAGCTGTTCTTTGTCTTTAGTGCTAATTAAATGTTATTTGCATGGAAAATTCAGATGATGATCATTCTAAACCTTACCTGCCTTGTGTTAGCATGTTAGCATTGTCACTGTTAGCATGGTAGCACGATGACATTAACATTTAGCACAAAGCGGAGCTGTGCATAATTACAGCTGTAGGCTCCTTGTAGTGTGATTGTGAATTCCTAATGTCAGACGTTGCACACCTGTCTCTGTCTTGATGAAGGCTGGTGGACTGTGTAAACACCAGGGACAACGATGGAAATAAGTCCAGGACGTTACTGTTCTATCCCTGAGACAGTCTGATGTGTTGTAGTTTTACAAACAAACCAAAGCCAGAATATGTAATGCTCCTTGCTCAGTAGCACCGCAGTGGTTGCTGTCAGTGCACAGACACAGTCCACATGTACTTCATCCTCTTGTGCTACAGTATTATCTTTGTGGTTTCCAGGTAGCCTGCAAGAAACTGTGAATACGTTCACAACTTCCTCACCTGAGTGTCTTCCTGGTAATCTGTCTATTGTTTCGATCTTAATTCAGCAAGTTAGTTTTGCTTTTGTTGTGCTCCATTATTAGTTCCCCAGTTTGTTAATTAACAGGAGTTTACTTTAAGAATTAGCCTACATTTACAGAAGTGAGAGCACAAGCTAAAGGGCGTCTTTACTTTGTGATTATGACGCCAAGAGACATTCACTGTGACTCATTATGTTAATTAAGAATGAATTACCCAAAAAAGAGTTTTAATCATATTACCCACAGTTGAGATTAATTCTTCAGAAAGAAAGACTTTCAGTGTTGTATTAGAGAGACCACCCCAGGAGTAAAGAGCGATCTGTTGCAGCCAGGGGAAACTGCACATGATTATTCTCATGTTTAGATAAGAACTGGAAGTCATTGAGCTTCTTCACAGCCATCTGCCTCCGCTTTGCGCGTTATGATGATAGACTCCATGACAGTCCCCTCACTGCTTTTTCATCAGTCCTCTTTTCTGTATTACCCAAATAAGTCTGCAGCACTTGATGTTATCAAGTCCAATTTGTCTCGATTTGGAGGAAACTAATAGTGAAATGGAAAAAGTGAACCTCCCCTTCAATTTAAAAGAAGCTTGAATGATATTTGAGATCTGCAATTTGGTGTAAGGAGCAATCAGCAGTCATAAAGGACCATCTGTGGCTTTTGATCTCTCCTGAACTTCATCTTTGAAGCATGTTTCTGTCTGAGAATTTGATGCTTATATGCTCTCAGAGCCAATACTTTTACACTAAATACATATAATCATACATATATACGGAGGTATCTGTTAGTGTGCTGGCAAAACCTC